CTCTGTGAGATGCTATGCGATCTCTCACCTACCTCTTTTGCTCTTCTTCTGGTTGTTTTTAACTGGATCAGGAAGGAGAATGTTTTTTTCAGTAGCTTGGCACAGGGCTATTGGTTCTCACTTTTTCAAAGCCTGGAAAGGATCCGAAGATTCCTTCTAATTATCGTTCAATTGCTTTGATTAGTTGTCTCTCTAAGGTCTTGGAGAAGAGGGCTAATGCACATCTTATTTTGTTCCTTGAATGAAACAACCTCCTCTTGTCCACCCAATGTGGATTTTGTCGACAGTGCTCCACCGCAGACAACCTGATTTATCTTGAAACCTTGATCAAGAGAGAACATCTTGTTTCTGTCTTCTTTGATCTTGAAAAGGCTTATGACACTACGTGGTTTGGCATTTTGCGGGATCTCCATTCATATGGGTTGCGTGGCCAGTTACTCATTTTTTTTGTAACTTTTTACATGACAGATGATTCCAAGTCTGTGTGGGTTCAACCCTTTCTTGTTCCTTCATGCAAGAACTTGGAGTCTCTCAGTGACTGTTTTGAGTGTCACCCTTTTCAGTATCAAGATCAATGCTATCACTAACCAACTTCCTCCTGCTGTTGCAAACAGTCTCTATGTCAGTGACTTCCACAATTCTTGTCAGTCGTCAAACATGAGGTTTATTGAGCATTAGCTTCAGACTGCCCTTACTTGCTTGTTGAAGTGGACTACAGCAAACAGTTTTACCATATCTTCCTCTAAAACCATTTGCATGAATTTTTGCCACCAATGGGGTCTACACCCCAATTTTGAGCTCTGTCTCAGTGGTGTTATTCTTCCCATGGTTCCTGAGGCAAAGATCTTGGGGCTTATCTTTGATAGTAAGCTTACTTTCATTTCTCACAATAACTTTTTCAACACTGGCTCGGTCCCTGGGACTGAACTCGTAACCATAACCTCCTTATAGTTTACATACTAATAACTTTAATATTTTAAATGTATCTTTACAAAATTTTGGAGACTTATAGTAAACATTAGAAGCCTTTTGTACACAAAAAAATTAAAATTTTGTAATGAAGTATTTTTACTTAAGTTTGTCCGTGATAATATCGATTCTTTTGTTTTTTTTAACTAGTCTGAGTGCAAAGTGATTTTCATGTCAAAATTAAAAATACTTTTTGTCATCTAAAAAATTTCAAATTTCCTTTGTGTAATCCCTAAAATATCCAAAATGCATTTCAAACGTTTTTTTCACTAAATCCTTATAGTTTTTATTTTCTCTACCGTATCTCAAATCAGTATTGGTCAATTCAACCAACCTCATAGCCACCAAAAAAAATGGAAATAAACCTAAATTAACCTTCTTTTCTTTCTAGAATGACTTCAGATTGTAACCTGAAACTACATTCGTTTATCTTAAGTAGTTCTAAGTTCGTAACATTATACATCTATTTATAATTAAATTTTAATGTTTTATTGCCCTTCTAACTGTGTCTGACTTCTATTCCCGCTATAAAAGTTGTAAATCACTTGGGAAACGTGCAGCTCACATTAAGCTATCGAATTACATTACCCACAAGCTGCTTGCATACGTGCCTCGTAAACCATTTTAATTGTATTATTATTATTACTTATTTTACCTAATCTAGTCTTAAATAATTTATAAAGATCCATACTTTTAATTTTAGTTACTTTTATAATAATAAATAAAGAATAAATATGAAAAACAAGAAATAAAGTACTTACACAATCTTCTTTTTTCTTGTTCTCGATTGCGATGACAGTTAAGCCTGCTTTTTTTTAGTGATTATAGTAAAGCAGTAAACAGTTTTTATTTAATTAGATAATACACCAAAGAATATAGACTAATAACATGCAAAACATAGACAAATTCACTTACATCTCAAAATTTTCCTGGCTTTCTAACAATGCGACAAGAGCCATTACAAATTCTTCCAAGCTATTCGTTAACTTTCCCTCGGAAATGAATCTTGTACTGTGAGTGAAATTAACAATATTCTGTTCAGAATGCAACGTTATACAATACATCAATGATAGATTAAAATCTTGAGTTTCTATTGGTTATAGGTAATATATAATGAAAAGTATGAGAAAACTATTAACGAATTGTGAAAGAGGGGATGTGACAAGTGGGTGTGGCAGGATTTTCTATTGAATAGCTCTGTAACCAAACAAAATTGAAGTTTATAAATATTATGGTCTGTTTCAGCAATAACGGTTTTATAGAATGTATTGTTACGTCTCCGTTTATCAATTAATTTTCCATAAATTCGTTCTGACGAAACTTTAGCGACACAAGTCCTTTCTTAAATAAAACTAGTTAATTCTTTCTGAATATAACTTTGCGATACATTTAATTTCAACAGTCGTGCTATAACAAACGCTATAATTCTCAACGAACGTCTCACGTGCTTGACTCAACAATACTCAGTTCAATTACACGTTGGTCCGTCACGTTATGACTGTCTTATATATACAAGACTAACACATATCTAGTAAACGCTAGAGCATTCATAAAGGAACAGGATATTTGTAGAAGTCAATGACGTGTTACTAGCTTCACGTGACTTCTGCTGTCATAACAGTATTTTACGTTTAATTTCGTACATTTTCGAGGGGTGATGGATAAAATAGGGATGATGACATGCTAAGACAAAATGTGTCATGTGTGTTGCACTAGTGGAAGTTCAGGATTTTTTTATATATTTCCTTGTATACTATTAAAATATGGATTACTAGCTAAGATTTTATGCTATAAACAAAAAGTAGTTTAATACAATTTTGAATGTAAGACACTAAAACTTTGTGTCTCATGCAATAAAGTGCACCCGGGCCAATAGGGTTAAGTAGCTTCGTGTCAAGCGTACATGGACACTGAACAACCTCCATGTCCTCTCTTCCACCTCTTGGGGAGTGGATAGATATTACATGCTCAAGATCTATTGTGTCCTCATACAATCCAAGCTGGACTATGTGTCTATGGTTATGAATTTGCCAGACCCTCTGTACATCATCTGGGGCTTCGGCTCTGCATGGGGGCTTTCCGCACTTTACCAGTCCAGACTTTGTACACTGAGTCCCACAAACCTTCTCTTCACCACAGCTGTTTGCAACTATTTTGCAATATGCTACCAAGCTTTGATCCTTACCACAGCATCCCACCTGTGGTTATGTTTTCCTTCCTTGGTGGGCTGTGATCTTTTGGAATAAATGGTCTGCCATTCCACCTTCTGGCCTAAGTATCAAGACATGGCTGGCTAAATTAGGTCTGTCATTGGATGGTGTTGCTGAGTCCGATGATCAGCCCATCCCACCATGGCTCATTACCATCCCCACCTGTGACCTTTGTTTGAGTCATCTGAGACAGGCGTAATACTCCCGATTGGAAGTACCATCTTCTCTTTTCTGAACGTCTTTCGAACCATTATTCTGTTCCCGTTTTTATGGGATGGTTCGAAATCAGGTGACTCTGTGGGCTCTGCCATGGTTTGTTGTGGCTCAGTGGTTGCTCACAGTATCCCCTCTACAGTTTCTGTGTTCACTGTCAAGTTGTATGCTATTTCTCTTGCCTTGGATCATGTAGAAGCTAAGCAGTACTCTAACTGCACTATTTACACCAACTCTCTTAGCTCTCTACTGGCTCTGGAATTGCTTAATGTTAGTTCTCACCCTGTTCTTTTAGATATTCTGAAACAACTGGCTCAGTTTTCTCTATCATCCATTTCTATCCAGTTTTTGTGGATACCTAGCCATGTCGGTATTCTAGGGAACGAGCATGCTGACACTGCAATTAAGTTTGTCTGGTGCTGTCATCAAGGCCCAGTTTTGCGCCAGTTGACAGTCAATTTGGGGTGAGCAACTTTAAAACAAGTTTTTCCAACTCAAATCTGCTGTTCTTGTTTGGCTGTCTACTTTTCGTAAGGATCAGAGTGAAGAAGTTGTCTTGGCTAGGCTATGCATTGGTCACAGTTTTTTAACCCACCTTCTTCTTTTATGTGGGACTGATCCACCAATGTTTGGCCTTTGTAACACTCAGGTCACAATTGCCCAGATTTTACTTTTGTGCCACCATTACGAATGTCAGTGGTGGCACTGTCCAACTTGATTATGTTTTTAGCTTTTTGCGGGCCATTGGCCTTTTTACTACTATTTAGTTTTTCACCTAATTTTTGGATATTCTTTCACTTTTAACTTTCTTTTTGCATTTTATTGTATGTTGCTTACGTCATTTTTACGAGTTCTTTGGCACTGATAGCCTAGTTGTTTGAGCCAATAAATGCCAACCAGACAACCAACATGAACTCTATATTTTCCAAGTGATTTCCAAACTTTATGGTTTGAATATTAGTTTAGATGCAGTTCATAGGGCAAAAAATTTAAGGATAAACAGAAGTATACTCTTACAAGATCTAAGCTATTTAGGATAAAAAAATGTAGTTTCATGTTACAATTTGAAGTCATTCTAGAAAGCAAAAAAAAAGGTAACTTAGATTTATTTAAAATTTTATTTTTTGGTTGTTACGAGGTCAGTGAAATTGACCAACCTCTTATAAAGTTAGGGTAGAGAAAATAATAGACAAAATACAAAGTTTTACTGAAAACAAACATTTGAAATTTAGTTAGGAGATTCTATGCAATATTCAAGTGAAATTTAAGATTTTTTTGAAACGAAAAGTATTTTTAATTTTAACATGAAAATCACTTTGCACTTGAAGTCAACACTTTGACTTTATATATTCATGGAGAAATTTTTAGTGAAAATACTTCAATAAAAATTCTGATTTTTTTTGTCTACAAATGTCTTTTAATGAATTACTGATAGTTTGCAAAATTTCATGAAGATACAATGAACATATTAGAAGTTGTAGTATTGGAACTAAAGGTCAATTTGGTGTCATGAACTTGGTCAAATCAATCGAGTTTGTAATGATAGAGTTAATCTAGTTTAATAAAATCATGGAAGTTTATACACTTTTTTTCTTTTAATGTGTATAGGGTGGCCATTTTATGAATACGACAATGTTTGATGCTAGAGAAGCCATAATTCCAGGGAGTGTGTATGATAGATCATCTCATCTGAATGGAGGTAAGTTTCTACTTATAATTTGATACTAAATAATCATTACTTTATCAGTATTATACATAAACAATTGATATTTAAAAGTGTTTCAAAAGCATTGCATCTTTTTGATATCCATTGCATAAAGCAACTATTAATGATCTGTTATTCTTCTGTATTATAAATATTTAAAAAACAGGTGACCATCTACTGATAATATTTTCTCCAGAATGTAGTGTTTTAGAAAGTTTGTGGTATGCAAGGAAAACTGAAGTTGAATGAAAACAACTATAGACAGGAACACTAATTTTTCAGTGGTATTTGTGGTGTATGGCTAATGTACATAAAAGTTGTTTTATTTTCTAGGTCCTGCATACTTCAACAGAACACATGATCAGATCTCATACATCAGCTCTGACAGAGCACAAGGGACTGTTACCAACTTGCCTGTGCCAATTGGGATGTTCATGAACATGGCTCATATACCACCTCGTTTTTATAATCAGCATCAACAGGCAATGCAGGGTAATCATGAATTTTTTAATAGTTTCAAAAGTCTATAAGGGATGTATGTATACCATTGGTATTTCATGTGCAGATGCATTAAAGTAAACTTGCATAACCTTACTACAGGTTGCTTAAAAATGATTAACATGTTAACTTGTATCTTTTAAAAATTGGATATTTATAAAATTTTTATCTGTATAAAGAAAAACAGCTCTTAAGTTTCACATATACATAAACAGAAAACAGATACATCTTTACTATTGCTAGTTATTGCATATCCTTATCACCTTTAACACATAATAAATTTAACTTCAGTATTTATCCTGGCGTGGACAGGAATATTTATAAACAAAATTTACTTTTATATTTATCAATGTTCATATAAGGTGATTAGCTTGCTTGTATTATGAATCCAATGACTATTGTTTGTGGCTTGGTAGTCCAAAGATGAGCTCTATATTCCAGAACTGTGGATGTACTGTAAGAGTGACAGTCAAATACTAGTATTGGGTTATACAAGAAATGTTAGTTACTTGCTGCCTTCTTTCTAGCTTATTGGTTCAAAATTGAGATCAGGCCTTACGTGTAAGATGCTGTTTGTGTAGCTTTCTGCAAAACTTCTATAGGTAACTATTTATTTAGACTTCTGTCAGTAAATTAATTGGATTAGGATATTTATTCAGATTTTGAGTTGAAGTACAAGCCAATATTATAAATATGACATTTACAATACAAGATTTGTTTGTACATAATAATACTTGAAATTTACAGCTCGTCAGAACTTGAAAAATAGAGGTGCAGCCAAGAAAGGAAGTTTGCGACAGCAACGTACAAATTTATTACCTACCAATGCAAATGTGAACTTATCACAACAAGGTTTTAATAGCCAAGCAAGTCAGGTAGGTTTTTTTTTTTATTGTTTTACTTTAATACTTGATCAACTATTTTCTATCTGTCATTGCTATTTCAAATCAATTGGAATAAGAGTGTGAGACATTCTTTAGAATTTCATATATAATAAAAGATAGGGAGATATAAAAGAAATGTGCATTGAATATATACTTCATTTGAAGGAATATCTACACTAACAAGGCACTTTATTGGGATTCTTAAGAAATGTTAGGTTGGACCAACCTGTCTTTGTGAAAATAGTCTGGACTTGTCATGGTATAAATGCCAAAAATGGCAGAAGTTGTTTTTCTATTGTAGTTTTCAGTTAGTTTATTTATGTTGACAGAGGTTTTGGTTTATTTTAGATAATACAATAACACTTGTTCATTAGGGTTTACATAATTTTCAACATCTCTCAGTTATCCTCTAAATATTATTTGCCCTTCTGAATCAAATTATCAAGCATCTACCACAAAAAAAGTTTTGTTCTTTGCACATTGTCATTTTACTTTAATTTTTTAGTTTTACTGAAATATAATCTTTTTTTTTGCACTGATGATAGAAACTAAAAAAGTTATTGTTGTCAAACTAAACATTTTGAGAACTTATGCATCTGAAAGTACTATTTTTTTTTTTAATTGTTGTAAAAATGTTATTAATGCTTATTTTCCAGGACTTGTTGACATCTTTCTCCCAAGGTCCACTCATGCAAGGCCCACTGAGTATGAGTCAAATGAGTCAGCCAGGATTTCATGGCCTGTCTCAGCCTGGCTTGTCTCAACCAGATCTTTCTCAGGTGAGGGTCAGTTTTTGTAATTTGCTTATGTTGGTTATTGATTTTCCATAATAAACTAATGTTTACTTCTCAAAAATGTTTGTAGGCATTGTGAAACTATATATATATATTTGATATTGTGTAGTTTATCCACCTCAAATTGTGGGTAGGGGTTTACTTTTTGTCGTTCAGTGTTAAGCAGCAATTGAATATATGGGGAAAAATTTGTGGTAACAGGTAAATGATCTTCTCAACCACTTAAATGTTTCAAGATAATAATGGGCACATAAGAAAGTTTCTTCTCCTTTCATGCAATTCTTAAAAACATTTAAACTTTAATATTCTAAAAATTCAATGCTATGTCCACTTATTTCCTATTTTTATAAGATAAATATAATAAATCAATTTGAAGAAACTTGTTTGTATACCTTCTTCATTTTGTGCAAGTAAGTTTTTATGAAATTTATATTTATAAAGTTTCTAGTGTACTAAACAATTCTTATCAATTGAAATATACTTTGGATTTGGGGGCTACTCTTTTTAGTCATTATACTATTTTGTTTTCAATAACTGATCTATAAAAGTTAGTGATTTTATTTTGAAGATGAAAAACTGTTCTTCGGAAAGTTTGTTTAATAAAAAGTATGTGACAGGAGGTATGAATCCTGTTTGCTTTTTTTTTTAATGAAAATAATACATGTCTTAAATTTTAATTTTGTTTAGCAAACAACATGATACCTGCAGAATATCAAGTATCTGATTGCCTTAACAAAAGAAGTGTTTGTTTAATTATTTAAAGGAATGATTAAGAAAAGAAATCAGAATGAATTAATTCAACGTTACTTTATAATTTTATACTCTTGTTCAGTAATTTACTTTTCTTTGTTCTTAGTTTAGTGATTTTTTTGGTTATTTGTTTGTAGACTATGATACTGCTTCTCTGCTGAAATTATAAATTTCTCTGCTTACTGTAGGATAGCTACCTGGTTGAAGAATTCCGTTCTCAAACTGAAGGAATGCTGTCCCAAGATTCTTCTTATCAGGGGGATCGAGCATTATTTGCAGCCTCTCAGGGTGGGCAGTTCTCCCAACCATACTGATTCACAGGTGGAGATAATCACCAGTAGCACTGGCCTACTGACCACTCCAAAGAGCATCAGTCTAGCTCACCAGTGCAAGCAGCATTGAAGAGTGAAAGAGCAATGTAGGAGAAGAGGAAATGGAAGGGGTTTTGAATATGGTGTCTCCAGTGACCACCCAGCCTACCTGTCAGCGGTGTCATTCTGGCTTCCAACCATGGGTTCTAAGTGCACACCCATCTGTGCTTCACAGCTCTCTAAATGGAGTCAGTTTTCACAGGCTTACTGTGTTTTTCTCGTCTGACTTGACCTGAATAATCCTCATATGGTGTAAGGCACGCATGGGGAACTATTGGTTTGTAAGCATCTTGTGTAGGTTATTGTTTTTCTCTGTACATTTTTAGTTTCTTTATTTTTTGGATCTTGTTAGCTCATGTTTCTGATTGCATTTAGCCAATCACAGTCAGTGATCTAATAAGGAGGAAGAGTTGAATAACAAGCTTAAAAAATGTTAGCTATTTTTGTATAGCAGTTGTCATTTTCACTGTTTTCAATCCATGTCTGTGGGTTATTGGCAGTCACAAGATTGGAAGAGACCTCTGGGCACTCAGCTTAGATAAACAAGGCCCTGATTGTTTTTCACCAGTTTGTTCAACAAGAAATGAAATTCATGTGTAGTTAAGTTCATCTGTGTTCAAATCTTGTAATGTCTATGCGTAATTGACAATGTCTTTCTTAAAGCCAAGTAAATATATCATAGTAAATCAAAAATTTTCTTGTGCTCATTTGTTTTATTTTATATATAGTTATATTTTTCTTTCTTTGTACCTCCTCTGTGGTTTAAGTGTGTTTCAGAATTAATCCATCAAAGCAAATTAAATGTTTTGCAGTCTTGAGATGTGGACTGTTCCATTGCTTTCTTAATATAGTCCTGTGCAGAATGGTATCACTTTGTTGAGTTTGTACAATAATTTCAACCAGTGGTAATAAAAAAGCTACATAAACTTAAAATTGCCAATTTGTCCAACATTAAATCTTTATTTAAACTTTAATTAATCCCCAGTAATTGTGTGTAAATGCGAATTAATGAATAAATTGTTTTTCTCATGTAACTTTGTTACATGAGACCATGTGCAAGTGATTTAAGGATAAAACTTCCTTCATTTTAATATTTAACTATTATCATTCTTTATCCCAGTTAGTTTCCATTGAAATAAAAGGTTTGTTCAGGTTTTTGAAAAAAAATTGAAACAAGATCAACTGTTATTTTTGTGCACATAGTTATTTAGTGTAGTGTTTGAATAATTATTTTGTTTTGGCACTTGTGTATAAAGTTAAAATCATAAATAATATTCAACGTTAAAATTGGTACACAAGACTTTTTAAATTCAATTCAGATATTTAAAGTAGAACTGAAACATTTTGTGAAATATAATTGTAATATTATCTGAAATGGAGGGGTGTATTAAGGTTAACTGGTGCTCTAGGCTCATAATTTTAGATGCACCCCTTCCTTCTTGAATGATTCACCAGAATAATTATCCACCAAAATGAGAACAACAATGATTTAAAATGCAATAAAATGGATGGAAATTAGGTTTTATTATATGTTTAAATTGTATAAAATACTAACTAACAAAATGTTTTTTTTTTTCTGTCCATTGCATTGGTAAACTTTTCAACAATTTCATTAAAATCTAGACTTCTTAATATATCATACTCATTGGATAAGCATGAAAGAGCATTACATTTTTTTTCTCTGAGAATGTTGACTGAAAATAGTTTTTCACTCTGAAGCATTGAAAAAGATCTTTCTCTGCTACATTTAGTGATAGCTGTGCATAAGAAAATGTGCAGAATTGTTTCAATATTTGGAAATACATACTTAATGTTTAGGCTTTTAATCAATTTTAACATTTTCATAGCTGAAGATACAACCTCTTTGCATGTATGAATTAGTGACTGCAGTTGCAAGCATTCCTTGGCCAGTGAATCTTCTAAATCCATATTATTCAAATTCAAATTATGTTTACAAATTCCATATGTATTCATTGAGTTTATCTTGGCCAAAAATCCAAATCATGTGAGGGGCATTTCAATTATAACAAGAAATGTTTCCATCCTGAGTATTTGTTTGCTCTCCAGTTGAGCATCTCCATAATTATTTTCACCAAAAAATAGTTTCATTTTCATCTTATTTGTGACTCTCAACTTTTATTTCATGCAAATTGATGGCCTCCAATTTAAAGGTATCAAAATCGTATCAAATAGAAGTTAAGTAATCATTGAGAGATTTGTACAGCATTAGAATGGTCCCTAAGTTTACATCAGGACTTTGCAGTTTTTTACTTGTTTTGTTGAATTTATCCTAAACAAGACACCAAAAACAAATCATTATCACTATTTCAAGGCATTCCAGTTTTTCTTTTATCCAATGTGCCTCCGATCTATTAGTGAGTTTTTAGTTTTATCATCTGATATTCACTGGAGTTAATATATATCTTCTTTACACAAATTAAACAAAGCTTTACTTACATTTGCATGAGCACTCCATCGAGTGACTGACAAGTTTTTAACAATCAATAAACCATGCATAAATTTGGACAGCAAAATTTCCCAATGGTGAGTAAAAGAAGTTGAAAAGCTTTTGTTCCACTTTGAAAAAGGTGGTTGCATATTGGCAGCAGATAATCCGATAGGATTCAAAGAGTGAGCTGAGTGGGATATGTAAACAGCTAGTGGACTGATGTTTTATATCATAGCTTGGAGCCCACTTTATTGACCAGACATTTTATTTGCATTGTCATAGCTTTGACCACAGCAGTCGTCCAGCTTTATGACATGGATTAGGTAGAAAAGTAATAAATTGCTCAACAGGAGAACCATGTGCACAAACATAGCGCTTTATGAAAGTTAGTTGATTGATTTTGGTGTTTAGTACACACTAGTGGAAAAGTATTTTGCAACTTTCAGTTTCACAATTATTTACTTTTGAATGTGTTCATGGGTGATAAATATAACAGGTTACCTTTTCCAGCATTACCAAATCTAGCTATATGATCAGCCATGAATGGATTGAATATGCCTATAAGCTCTAAAAATTCCATGAATAGCCAAAAACTTCATTGTGACCTGGAGTTGGCAGTCTCAGAAATGCCAAAAACTTAATTATTTTGATCACTTGTGAAAATATTTCTTCAATATGTTATTTCTTCTTCCAATTGAATTACAGTTTATTTATCAGTACTTTCCAATTTTTTCCCCTAATAGTTAACAACATGACACATTTTTAATGTTCAAGAGATATTTCATGATCCTCCACTCTTATTTTTCCAGTTGGAAAAGCCAGTAGTGAATGAACATGCATCACTGAAAAGTTTGAATGGAGCACAATAGGCTGCATCCTTAGAAGGAGAATATACTAGATATTTATATTCTGCTTTTGCTCATTTGCAAGTTTTTGAGTAAATAAAACTTTCCAAAGATACCTTTTTTTATCAGAATACATTTTCAAAGATCTATAGAAAGCACATTTGTTTTGCTTTATTTTGAGCAATACTGTTGCAAATATAATTGTTAGTTACCCATTCAGCTGGATCTTCACGTACCTCAACATTGTATTATGATTAAAAATGTCCTTTATTACCTACACTTTCATTTGTATGTTGGACATGTGGTTCGCCTCCAATTTCAATATCTTGAGCTTGTAATAAACCAGTCTCACTGTCACTTATATTGCTTATTGATGGAATAATATCACTTTCCTGGCTAGTCCTAGTACTTGTTAACTGATTGTCCTTCCATGAAGAAATGGTGAAAAATGTATGCAGTTTGATTTTTTTAAATAAACTTTTATTATTCATTTTTTGTTTTGTAAGTTTTTTAAATTGAGCACCACTCACTCACACCCTTTTTGTTTACACTCGTTATTCTGTATAGGAAGTAAATATCAAGGTATGCAAAGAAATGTTTCTAAAACCTTTTCTTAAATACATAGATATGCACGAGATAATATACTGTGATGGTGTATGCAAACAGACTGACTAAAATATGTCTTGTGCAAAAAATATATATATGAAGTTCATTGAAATATGTTGTCTCCAAGTTAAAGAGTGTGGTTAATACAAAACAGTCAGTTTCAGATTATATTATATAAATGAGGAAATGTTTGTGGCAGTAATTATACAAACTTGTTTTATCTTCAGTCATGCAAACTAAACTGCCAGATTAGAATTAACTAAGCAGTATTTAGACACTAATTTCTGTGACATTCTCTAGTAAAGGCCATAAGACTGCAGTGATGTTCACATTACTTCAATTTTTTTATGTTAAAATACAGGACTGTAATTACTTCGTTTTCTGTTAAGTTAATATTAAAATTTATAAAAATGAACACAAGAACCAACAGCAGAATCTCAAAACTGGGTAGTGTTTTATATTTGTGTAAAGATGAACATAAGTTGAGAACTTTATAAACTGTTAGATGAAATAAATTTTTTTTATTTTCAATGTTGATTAATTAAAAATTTTTGGTTTTAATATAAAAAAATTTACTAAAAGTTTCCAAATTCTACTTTCAGCTTGTAAGCTGCCCAGATATTAAATATATTTTGAATTTTTCACTGTTAACTCGGAGCAGAATTTATGAAAATATACTACTGAAAATTTGAATATAATGGTTTTCATTTTACACAAAATTTTACTATTTTTAATTTAAAGAGTTGACTAAAATCTTTGTTTTAAGAAAATATTTGTTATTTAAAGGATAAAAAAGCTTGTAAGTTCAGAATTGAGTGTTTTTTTTTTAATTGGGAAAAATGTGAAACTTTAATTTTCTATATTTAGTTTAAAAATTGGACACTTATCATAAACTAGAGCAGTTGTTGTTCATGATACAAAAACTGTGTAAGTAATTACTTATAACAAGTTCATTGTGGATTTATACTTTTTTGTGCAACTCTGTCAGTGTAATATGGTCTTTGTTTATAAGGATTCTAAGTTGTAGTTGGAGTTGTCATGTTTACCACAAAATACATGGGAAGAAATTTTAGGATTTACATTTTTAACTTATAACCTCTATAAAAACATTTTATTACTTGTTGGTATAAAAATTCATGCATAAGACTATTTTCTAAACTTAGCTACAAATGATTTGCTTTTCATTTAGAATGGTTGTGAATATACTGTATTTAATAGTGTAGCAAGGTGTTGTGATAAATTACAGTAATTACTTTTTGTTGTTATTGTAACGAATATATGTACTAAAATAAATATGCTGTAACATATTGAAGTTCAACAACACGGTACTATAATAACGAAGAACGTTTAAACCAGCTTCACATTTTAATAGCATATCTGGTGAATACAAAACAAACTGGTCCAAGTAGTTTTGGGGGAGCATCAGGGGTGCAATTCTAAAAAAAAGTAGCGGTACTCAGGTGGTTGAAGTGGATCTGTTTTTGAAAAAAAAATTGCGTGTAAATATAAAAAACGACAAAACAGCATTATGTCTTAAAATGTGTCCCCGTATTCAGTACTGGTGAGTACCGGTATAGAATTTTATCCCTCAAAATGTGGAATAGCGGGTTATTAAAAAATTGAATAAAACACGTTATAAAGAGTAAAAACAAAACTTACTATTTTGCGATAGAAATAGTTATTTCTGTGATTGGATAAGAAGTCTGTTGTTTATGTTTATTTTTGGCAGTGTTACTGTATAACTCTTTTGTCAGCTTTTCATCCATCAGCGTTGTTCTGAATTTTTAACTCTTGTGCAGAAGTGTTTGAGCTTTCAAAAGTGGCAACAGGCAAACATTTGATTAGAGATGAAAATATGCATTTATAATTCTTGTCATTGAAAATTATGAGAGATAAAACTTTTAAGTCATTTTATTGTGTTTTAAAGCTGTATTGTAATGAAGCTAACATCAAGCAATGTTTTGTCTAAACAATTTGAAATTTGTAAAAGTCACTTTTTTTTTGTATAATTTGTCTTGATCCAGCAATAAAAACAAATGTTTTGTGTTGAAACTTGTGGTATGTTTGAAAATTATATTTTGAAATTCTGTTCTTTGAATATCCTTTTACTATAGAGCTAGAGGTAAAAATAAAATTCTTAAGTGTTTCATAATGTAAACATTCTATAATATTTTTTGTGACAAAACATTGTGAAAAAAAGAAACGAAAAACGTACTGACAAATAAACAAGCATGGTATTTTAAGGTGTACGTAAGAAATTGCTAGGTGGTGTAATAGCAATTCTTTCACACGTGCTATTTGAATAAATAAAATATATGTCCAATTCAGCTGGTTAGAGAATTTTGTCTGTTAAACTTCCATTCTCTGAAATTAATCAAACCTTTAAGAAATGTGGGTAATTCTGTGGTAATTTTTCCGAGCTGTTTCTCTTCATGGTGGTTATACAAGCAAAAAGATTCAATCTTCTAAATTTTCCAACAGTTTTCAATACTGGAAATCCTACAAAATCAATGGTTTTTATAAGAAGGTCCTCTTGGAGTTTTTGAAATTCTAACCATCCCCCACAAGCCGTACAAATGTGCATCTTAGTTTGCGAAAAATTATCTCTAGAAAATGGTAAATATGCTGACTAGGAAACCTTGCTCAGTAACAGGCTTTAAACTTTTTTTTGCAACCTTAACTATCTATAGGTAATTAGTTTTAATTAATGTCTTCATTAGTGGGAATTAGAATCATAACAAGACAATTGGTAAAGATTTTTGAATTAAAAAATTCAAGCTATGGAAGAGTGTAATATCAACAAGTGTGCTAAATATCATGCTGATATTGGCTTTAATGGTGAGGTTATCATGCCAATAAATTAGTGACTCCAGTGAAAACTGCGTTTTGAGAAAATAAACGTTAAAGTTTTTCTGCATTTAAATGTCAGTAAGATTGTAGTAAATGTGTGCATTTACTACATTTAAAATATATCAATCCCACTGTAGGCACCAAGAGCCATCCTAACTTCATTTTCTCCTCTAATATCTCCCTGAAACATAAACATCCCCTTCTTTTTTGGTAGCAGCTTCCTCAAAGCCCTTCTTGACATTTCTGCCAGACATGCTTTATTGCTTTCCTTTTCTGCCCCTTTCATCTTTTCTAAATCAATATTCTCCAGACATTTTCCTGTATGTGGGCCTGTATTGCTTGAAGGACTCTTATATTCGATGCAGTATCTTCATTAAAAGTGCACACAGCATCACCCCAACAAACATTTTTGTTGCAGGTTAATGAAGACTTGGGACATATTCTGCAGATCATAGGATTCAATGACACGTTAGGGTTTGGATAATGCAGTCCAAATATTTTTGAAGTCAATTTGGCTTAGAGAGTCTATCAAATATTGGTTTGATGCGGGTCATTACAGCTGGTGCTATTGTTTGCTTAGTTTGGAAGTCCTTAAGTTCCCCCTTTGCTTCTACCTTATGATAATTGCACCAACTGTCCACTCCTTTCAGACAAAGGTGAAGCTGTGAGTTGGAGTCAGGAGAGATATTTTAATAATATATTGCTCAAATACCATCTTTCAGTACCTGTAAATATCATTTTTTTACTTCTTATGGCTTTTTCATACCAGAAATGGAAGGAATCTATAGCTCTGTCGGTTAGCCACCCCTTTCCCTCCAATGGTTTTCCTGTCTGAAAGCTTTTTACTTTTCATGTCCATGGAAACGGAATGAAAGCAAACTAGGCTGTTATCTTTAATCACTTACTACAGGTAAGTTGTTAAAGATTTCAATAGCAAAAATAGTTATTTATTTAGAAAAGAAGTTAAACTTTCGATTTAGGATAAATTTGAAAAAAATTTGATTTTTGAAATATTGGGGTGCTTTTTAAGGATCAATGCTAACTTAATATATGTAAAATCACATATTTAACAAGCATACTGAAACATTTATTAAAAATTCAAAATATAATATATATACGAAAACATCTTAGTTTATTACAGTTAAGAGTTTATGTTTTTCATTTGTGTAACATTATGTATAGGCAAATTCTAAATTTATCGTGAGACATTTTAACATGGATTTTGAAACGTATTCCAGTAACATGTGTATTATCTTTTACACTTCTACAAAGAACATCAAATTTTATTATTCGTTTTGTCAATTACAGTTAGTATTCAATCAAAGCCTGACTAAAGATCAAAGGTTAGTTAATCATGTGTCTAGCTTAAACTTTTATAACAAACTTAAGAGACAAAACAAATGAACATTTAAGAAAGTTACTAAAACATATACGAGATATGTATATATTCGGCTACATGTAATTGAACCCCAACAGCGTTAACAAAGCTCGTCTCGTTAATGAAGATATATAAAACTTAAAAGATCAGACAATAGTTAATGGTGATGTTTATTTTAAATGTTAGAAGTGAGAAACGTTTTTATCATTAGGGGTGGTATGTACAATCATAGCTTTCTCTTTCTCAAGATATGATAGTCCTGAAAAGGACCTTTCAATTTCATTCGTTTAAAGAGAATCATTTTCTTCACTATCTTCAAGAGAAATCCTCATTTGAAATATATTATGTCTACTCTGTGTAACTCCAAGAGCCCAGACTAGTAATAGTTGGAGAATATCTGAATGTTCAATCAAATTACGCTGTAAATAAAATACATCACCATAAAGAAAACATATAGGACACTCGCCAAAATGATTTGTAGAGGTATAATGATCATATGATTGTACACTTTGAACATATTCACCACAAAGTATATACTCAAAACCCGTTACTGTAAGTATTTTTGTACATTAATTTTACACACATATATAGTCGAGCAAAGGAACTCTCAGGGTAAAACTCTGTTAGCAATGCTTTGAACTTTGTTCTGTGATCAA